CTCTCTCTCTCTCTCTCTCTCTCTCTCTCTCTCTCTCTCTCTCACACACACACACACACACACACACACACACACACACACACTGAGGTTAACTCCAACCCTCCTGACCTTCCATAAGAGCCTAAAGACCTTAGCTTGGGGCTCCAATGGGGCAGTATCACAATGGAGGTGGTTGATAAGATTAACAACAAATCCTACCCCCCCCCCCAAAAAAAAATACTGCTCCTGCTCGCCCCATCTTTTAATTGGGCCACAATGTTTGGCTTTTTGTATTAACTTTTTATGTTTTTAGTTTATATAGTTTTATTTTATGATTGTAAACCTCCCAGTTACCTTGAGGTAGGACGGGCAGCCAATAAATTTTACAAATAGAAAATAAAACCAATGAATGTCAAAAAAAAAAAAAAGGATGGAGCTAATCTAAATTCAGGGGGAAGAAGAATGTGCCAGAAGGCAGGTGCTACAGCAGAGAAGGCACACTTCCTGGGATCCACCAAATGAAGGTCCCCAGTCAATGGGATCCACAACATGCCAGATCTGGGATCAGGATATAACAGATTTCAAGGGGTGGGGGTGGGGGTGACAATTTTGAAAAAAGATACCAAACAATACCAAGCTATCCAAAGCACAATCCATACCTTTAGCTCCAGCTCAGTGTAAATCTGGGGTCTCAGCAAACTGAGCAGGTAAGAGGCTCTGGAGAAGTGAAAGCCTGCAGAATAGTGGAGATCAGGTATACCAAGGAGCAGAAGTTTATATGCTTGGGAAAGGGAAATATTGGATAGATTTAACTCTTACCTGGGACAATTTCTTCAGTGACTGCAGCACCTCCCACAATGTATCTTCTCTCCAGCACTACTGTTTTCAACCCTCCCTTTTGTAGATAAGCAGCCTGAGGATGCAGTGAGTATTAACTTGGTCCTGAATAGTCCCACCTGCTGCCTTCCAAGAATCCCTGCTGCAGAACCTCATAATTATAAGACCAAATATCCCCAGCGGAAGAACAGATTCTCCCCAAGTACAGATTAAGCACCTGGGGGCCGTTCTAGCTGATGCCAGATGTAAAGTGTCACCTCTTCTCATCACCCTCAGTACTTACAGCAACCAGTCCATTGTGTCCTGTGAAGAGATATTCCAGAATGAAAAGCTACTTATCATTACATGCTTCTTCTTATATAGGTGCTCTTTTATTTTATTTATACAAGCATTTTGTCACCTTTCTCAACCCTGAAAGGGTCCTCAAGGGGAAAAAAAAGATTCATTTGAAAAGTTATTATTTATAGTACAATTAAGAACAGATTATATGAAAACATTTAAAATCAGCACTGAGGACTGCAGGTGCAAGTGAATTGCCACACCTGAGCCACCCGCAGCCAGCAAGGTCAGGAATGAAAATGCTGTAGATTATAATTTGACAGTATCTAAACCAGTGTTTCTCAATCTTGGCGATTTTAACACAAGTGGATTTTACTCCCAGAAATCTCCAGCCAGCATGCTGGAGAAAAACTGATCTAAATGACCAGAGGTCACCGATCCCTGAATATGTTTGGCACAGAATTAGAGTAAGTCTCCAAACCTTGCTTGATTTTTAAGATTACATTCAGAGTGTTTTCTTAGCAACTGTAATGAGGTGGCTTTTTAACATTCTAGTCTAGTCCTGACCTTTTGAATGACCAAAAGTGACTCTGCTTAATTGAGATCAGCCAAGGTTGCTTAGATGCTATACCTAAAGGACAATACAGAACTCCAGATAAATATGCAATATTGGGAAGCAGCAACACTTGGTTGGGATACTATTAGAAAATACCTGGGAAGTAGAAAAACATCCTAGAAGGCAACACTGGCAAACTAAGTTCATACTGTTGTCAAGATAATTGCAGGAGTCTAAGGTGCTCCCAGGAAGCTTTACTTTTTAAAGGGCTACAGGACTGCATGGCCAATACTTTCTAGTTTAAAACTTCAATGCTTGATCTTTGCATGTCAAGGAAGACTTTTGAAGCCAAGATCGCCACCGCCTCCAAACCAAGGCAATTCTACCTGGGCAGAGGGCCAGCTTCATATCTGGCCGTGGGGAGCCTCCTTCCCTCCCCTATGTGTTAAATGGGCTTCATTCCTCTGACGCTCACCTGCCCCGATCACGACAGCATCGTACTCCCGCTTCAATGAGGCTGCAGGCCGCGAATAGTTTGCCCTACAGCCCGCCAAAATCCGCCGAATGCCAGTCGGGCCCAGGCGGCGACAGTGCCTGCTTGCCATTTTACACTTACTGAACTTTGCATTTCGGAACGCACTTTCGGGGGAAGAAACCGGGGAGGTCCTACGACGTTTCAGGGAGGCGGGGAAGAGGAGGGAGGGGGGAGTGCCCGGAAACCGTCCCAAAGGCACAAGTCAGTAGTACAGAGAGCGGGGAGAGTTGTTGCTTAAATCTTTCCGTGTTGTTATGCTTCACCAGTGACAACGCGGTGTTCCAGCAAAGCAGGGAGAAAGCTATTTGTGACATAATCCAAAGCAGAGGCTGCTTTCCAGCTCGAGACTCAGATCAAGTCCACCAAATCAGCTTGATACCCGATACAGAGCAGTTCAGAAACACCTTTCGCCCCTCCCAGCGTTACATAGTAATGATCATGGATGGATAATTAACGAGTCTCTTTCCAAGACCTCATATCACCTTTCGCGCTTCGGAAATGTGAACTAACCAGGAAACTCTATTCTCAAAAGCGCTTTAGGTACCCACACAAAGGGGTTTTTCCTTGACCCGGGCGGGACCCTTCTCTTTCGGCCCCATTCAGCTCCAGATTTTCCATCTACCACACACAACCTGAGGGAAGGCTGTTTTCAAGGGACAGAGAAAGCCCTAAGGGTGAACTTAATTAAGTGGCAGAAAAGGTGGTGTACAATGATGCACATATTAACATGAAATCAAAATCTTCAGAGCCTTTGCTTGCAACCAAGCAGGAGACGACCTGATCCAGGCAGAACTGAAGCATCAACTCTCTTACGTTTCTCAGCAATGCAGATCGCTGCCCGCCCCCCTCAAAAAAAGCTGGATAATCACAGCCATTGCCAACATTTGCAGGCAGCTGAGATTAAGAGGGCTTCCAGTCAAGCGTTTAAAGAAATAATTAACTTCTGATATCTATTGGTATAATTACATCTTCCACTCCGCTCGCCTCTGGCCATCATTCACATGCTTCTGTGTTATCAGTCCCCACCCTTCCTTCTAAGTGGTTGGAAGAATATTTCTGCTTTCCTGCGTTAATGAAAATCTGCCCACAAAGGGCTTTTTTCCTAGTGTTTAAAACAGATTGTTTACCGGCGAATGCCAATGCAGAATATATCCCATTGCTTTATTCTTGTCAACCTTTAACTGCAGCACATTGACATTATTTCAGGAGGAAAACCCAAACCAAAATGTTGCATCACATTCAGAATCAGTTATGTCTCCCTCCACATAAGATCCCTTTTTCTCTTCCTTCCATCGCCTTTCAAGAGTGTTCTAGGTTGATGCTGCTGAGCATGCTCAGTCCTTCCTGGGTTCTTTAGCGTGGGAAGGGCAGTTTCTTTTGAGATCTTTCTTGTGGCTAAAGATTGCATTCACCTCCTCAGATTTCCTTTGCTCTACTGCTAGACTTCGCTCAGGACTCATTTGGTTACACAGCCCAGCTCTCTTCATTTGCATCTTAACCATGTACCAACATACACCAATTTATTCTGCACTGCCCCCATCAAATGGCCTTCATCTCATTGTCAGCCTATGTATGGGACAGTGTTAAGTGGTGCTCAATTTATGACAGTTTCCAGACTTATGAAATCTGACTTGCTCTGCTGACTATCCTGCCAGCAGGTCAGGTGATTGTAAGGGGTGAAGCAGCAAACACCCATTAGCAACATCACGCTTGTGTAGTGGTCACCGCCTAACCCTTCGGGTTCCAGTCTTCTCCTCTGCCACCATTCCTTTGTTCCATTTCCTGGCAGAAAGTACTGGACATACTTACAGCCCTGCTTAAGGACAGCTGATTGGTGGCTGGCAGAGTTGTGGGGTGCAACTTCTTCCTAGCGGCTTCTCCTGCTTTATCATTATGTTCATGTCTCTTTTTGGATAAAAGTTTTACAAACATTTGTAAATCAAAGCGGGAGAATATGGTGCTTGTGTACGTGTTCTTGTGACACCTGAAAGATTCCCTGCTCACCTTTTTGAAATTGTATTTAAAGGAATAAAATAAATACATGGGAAGCTAGCATGCTGCAAAGCAAGATATAGACCAAAAAACCCATAAAAACCCTCTGGATCTATGCCTTCAGGGATAAAGGCCAACTGATATCCAACATGCATTACAGTCCTTCCATTGCTTAACTTACTTTAAGATTGACACTTTTAACATTAGTCAGTCACCATGCAAAAGGAAATATTTTTAATAATACAATTAAAGTTGAACATGGCAAGTAAAGATAATTGCAAAAACAAAAAACACTGAACTGAATGTGGCAATGAAAGAATTAAGGGCGTGATAGCTGGGGGAGGGGGCTCTGTGGTATCCCAGCCCCCTTCCATTGGGACCCTGAGCATATACTTAATTTGCTTAAGCATTAATCGAGGGCTGTCTGGGCCCCACAGGCATTCTTTTAAAATTCTTAAAAAACCAGAATGGTTGCAATTTAGGACTCTCATTGGATATGTACACACTTACAAAAAAGATTTTAAAAACTGAATTGGAATGATAAGAGACTGAGAGCTAGGATATAGCCTTGGTGGTGGACAGCACTCTCTGTATTTCATAAGAGGCCTAAAATGTTATCTTTTCTGCTCTAAGACATTCTATATTACATTTCTCAAGTATAGGATAAATATTTAATGATAATGAAGTGCCTAACAAAATGAGGCACTATACTAAACATATAAGTTTACAAGCTGTGCCCCATGGGCTTCTGTGTCGAAATTCTGAGGTGCAGTTACAAGAAAGGAAATCCTGTACTGCAAGTTCTCCAACACAGGTTCACACCAAGGGCCAATGCTATGTCAGCAGCTGTTCTCTGACATGAATCACTTTTGGTATCCAAAAAAGAGCTCTTTGATGTTGTGAAGGAAAGCAAATGAACACGTTGATCTCCTAGCTCTGAAAATCCAATGGAGGTCAAGTAAAAACATTGCCCAAGTTAGACCTGTCCCACTGAAGTAAAATCAGCAGAGACCTGAGATGCAACGTAGTCCAGAAAGAAGAAAACAGCCAAATTGCACTGAGTATCAGTTAAGCCCTCTAAAGCAAGGGGATACGTGTTGGCTCCCAGAGTTGCTGGGCCAAGCTGCGTGCCTGCTGGATCATAACTTCATTCGGCATGATGCCCAGATGGATGGTCAGCAGCTCATAGCACTTCACCACTTCATTGGCATGTTTCCTGCCAAAATAACGGAGCAGTTTCCTGTATGAGAGAGTCAGAAAATGGGTAAATGTGGGTGGTGGTGAAAAAAGTGAAATCAAGTAAGTTCTACAAAGCCTCAGTGGTCCTTCCAGCAAAAGACAAAAGCCCTGCACTTCAACCATCAAGAGGCTTAGAAAAAATTAAAATATAGCCATACAATTTTAGGCAACTTAAAGATCTCTCCCAATGTTATGCAAAGTAAAAGATAAAGTTGCAAGAATATTGATGGTTACACCATCTTTCAACTTCATATCACACAAAGATAACCACAGTATAGGTTTAGATCTGACGTTGGGGGCCGCACATTTCAAAGTTGTGAATTATACCATTGCTAGGAGGAAGAGATAGTTAATTAAGCTGTAAACACTGTCCTTTTCAGAGCTTGAATCAAATCCCTTCTGCACCCATCAGTATCTATGGAATCAAAACCCTTGCTTACCTGTAATAATCACCTGCCAGTGTCCCAATGGGAACTGAATCATCAGAAAGCACTGGCACTTCCATAACCTCCAGCTTATATCCCTACATGGAAACAGAAAGAAATTGTCAGGGAAAAGATGTTTTGAACCAAAGCAGATGTTATGTATTTTTAGCTCATGGCTAAAGAAGGCATCCTTATCTTAGTGCTCCCCAGAAAACCTGGACTAAAGTCATCAGTCTGTACTATCTTCCTGTCGTCAGTACTTAATTGCCATATTAGTTGTTCATCCCCAAAGCGGGAAAGGCCAATACCTCATCAAAGATGAGTAAATTTGGCTTTATAGGTAGGCATCTGAAACACCTGCAATAAATCAGGAAGGGTTTCTGATTCCAAATTGTTTAAGCAGCAGCAGGAGAAAAACAAACTCTCCCAGGCCATAAATTATACCAATTAAATAAAGAAACTAGGAGTAGCCAGTTGTGGATTTAATGGGGAAGGATTATGAATTTGATTTGGGTATACCAAAGCAAATCTCAGTATATCATTTGCACCACACTCTGAAGAAAGTGTCTTCAGCTTCTGTATCAACCTTTTTTATATAGTAAGTTGTAAAATAGCATCCTTCCCCTCCCTTCTCCTCTGAGCTCCAGGCTCCTCCACAATTACCAGCTCGTTCTCAAACCAGAGGAAGTAGGTACAATAGTAATCTCCATCCCGGACCATCAGTGTAGTGTATCCCTTCTGCAAGAAGCTTCGCGCTAAAGCCACCAGTGACCATACCTGTGAACCAAAGGCAGAAAAAGGAAAGTATAAGTTTCCTTAAGAGTCAGCCCAAACCTCAAATTCAAAATCTCCCATTGAAATTATGTCAATACAGACACTTGTCAATCACCTAACATTACCTTCTTCTTTATAAATTGAAGTAAAGGTCCTTTGCCTAATTCTGAAGAAGATTCCTCTGATATGCCAAGTGATGGAGCCACCATTTGTCCTACTGTACGATCCACATAGATGAAATGCACAAGCCCTGGGAAATTTTCCAAATATGTGGATGAAAGCAAGTTAAGAACTTGGTTAAAGATAGGCATCTTTTCCATTTTGGCCGTGACCAGCTCAAACAGTAGACTTAAACGTTCACTCTCTACAACAATATTTAGGCACTTCATAGAATTTTTGGAGTCAAGAGCCCAATCCCTATTTTTAAAAAACACAGAATTGAATGAATAACAGAGCTATCATTTAATTTCTTTAGACTTTAATGTTTGTCTAGGAGTATGGGTATTTTCTTGCTGTATTTCTGTTATCCTTCAAAAACACCAATTTTTTTTGCTCTGTTCCAAAACCTGAGAAACTTAAGAACTGTGCTCTTCTATTCCTGTACTGCCACATGCCTATAGCAGGGGAAACACTAAATGGGTTTTGTGCATGTGAAGATGC